TTCTTTTTACTTGGGCTGTCCTTTAACACAAAAACATCACAAGTAATTCTGTGTCCCAAGACTGGAAATCTCATTTTCGACAGTAAATGATCAGCATGAGTTGGTGAAAGTGTTCCATGGAGGATATCTGTCAGAATTTGTAGCAATGTAACAGATTAATGTCAGCAGAGTGAGTACAAGTGCTGGAGAAAGTGCCTTGGCTGGTTCCAACACCATTGTGAGAGAAGGAGAAAAGGGATCTGGTCCCTCTCAGGAGTGGGAGTTTGCAGCAGATTTTTAAAAGCAGCTACTGTCTACCAAATCAGTGTTTATTTCTTCACATCAACATGTTGACACTAATTTTGTTTCTAGATTTTATCCAGGAAATCTTTGGGGTTATATCTAGAAAGTTTTGTGTCTGGAGAGTGCTGAAGGAGTGCAGAACTCTGGCAGAGGATCAGAGCTCTCCTTAGTGATTGGCCACCTGCTCCTGCAAAGGTGTTTTCCCAGAGGAGGAACACAAAAGTGTTCAAACATGCACACCCAAGTCTAGGGAATGTGGGTTCAGTTGTAAATGGGTGACTTTAAAACAGGAAAAAAACCTTATTACATTAGTATGGTTTTGATAAATACAAAAAAAAAGTTCCTATGTTTTTCTTCATAGGTACAAAACTCCGTATGCAAAACCATAAATTGGTATTTATTATTGTCCCACTGACAGTTTACTACATTTTCTTGTCAACACACTACCATTGGAGCAATAAAAATGTCGAGCTATTAACATTCACCATCAATTATTTATCACTTTAGTAAGCAATGTTATGTGATTCTTCTGCCATTCTTTTGTTTTCTGCTTTTGGTGTTCTTACAGTGTTGTAACATACTTGTATTGCTTCTGAAAAGTGGTTTTGTTTAAGCTGTATGAAACTGTGTTCTTAACACTTTTATTCTGTTTACAAGTGAACAGCCACTTTTTTAACAGGACCTCACATCTGGAGAGTTTTCTCTCTATTTTTTATTTTAAATGAAAATAAAATTCTAACTGAGCTTGCTTTCTACAATTTACTGCACTGGCTTGTGCCATTGAAAGAAGCTGGAAGTCAGACATGCTTCATCACTTTGAGACATTTTTCTTTAATTAAATTCAAAGATGAAAACCTTGAATAGTGCAATGTGTTTATGGGAAAAAAAATTGGAAATTTTCTGCATCTTTGGGATGGCAGCAGTGGTGGGGTGTGTCTGAGACACACCTGCTACAGCCTTGGCTGCCTCAAACAACAAGACTTGGAAAGCTTAGGAAGGATTTCCAAAGGTGAAAACTGCAGAATGATCATCCAGTCTGATTTTCCTGGTGCTCTACCTTCCTGCCAGGACAGTGCTGGAGTCCCCATCCCTGGAAGTATTGGAAAACGTGTGGAAGTGGCCCTGGAGGACGTGGTTTAGTGGTGACCAAGGTGCTGCTGCTGGTTGATGGCTGCACTTGGGGATCTCTGAAGTCTTTGCCAGCCTTAACAATTCCATGGTTTGGTTGGTGCCTCACAGACCCTCCCTTGTAAGGACTTCTGGAAGGAATCTGTCCCTGCAGCATTCCTCTCCAAAAGCAGAGGTTTGCTCCCAGCTCCCAGCTCACCAGCCCGAGCAGGGACAGCGTGTGAGGGTGAACAAATCCCTGCCTTCCAGAGGGGTTTGTGCCCAGCACAACGCAGCCCTTTGTGTGTGTGACCAGCCTGGCTTTGGAGCTGTGAAAGCAGCGCTTCAAACCAAAGCCTCTGGCTCATCCCTGAGGGAAAAGCTCACATTCCTGACAGGGGCACGTGCAGTGTTTTTGTTGGAAGTGGTTTTGGGCAAACCCAGGAGCCGGCGGGGCTGACTGGAGCACCGAGCTGATTCTGGATGTTGGCAGGGAATGTTCCTGGGGTGTTCAGCCAAAACAGGGATGAGGGGCTGAGTCAGGAGTCAATCCCCTCGGGGGCTTTAGGAGATGGAATTGCCCAGACTTAGCAGCAAAGGCCTGTGTTAAGGATATTTGGGATTTGGCCCTGGCTATTGGAAGGCAGTCTCAGACCTGTTGGTAGAGTAGCTTTGCTGTGCTGTCTGTGCCAGTGTATTTATAATGCTGTGTCTGTCAGCACTTGAACTGTTCTAGCTGAGTTTATTTTTCTAGTGAAGCTTGGAGAGACTTAAACCCTTCATTTCTTAGACCAAATTAAACGTTAGCCTCCTCTCAAAAGCCAAGTTCTGTTCCTGTGCATCCTGCTTGCATTTATTTGAATTAATTTTCCTGGAATAGGAGTGACCAGGAACAATATTCCAGTTAGTGGCTCATGGCCAAGGTATTTATTTCAGTGTTGATAGTTTCCTCTCTTGTGTGACAAGAATGTGATCCATTAAATCTAAAGGGTCCCATTTGTCTCCTTCGTGGCTGTATTGTATTTCTGATCCATAGCTGTTCTGTGATAAATCTGGGGCTATTTCTCTTCAGCCACTTGTAGTTTATACAAGTTCCCTGCAGACATTCTCATTATCAGTCCAGACTCAGCATCTGACACTTTGTACTGGTGAATCTCTCAATATTTCCATTACTGTGTCCTCCCAGTCCTCCATTTCTCCTTGTATTTGTGTTCCCAGTCTTCCTGTAAAAAGTGTTTGCCACAGGCTGATTCAGTCTGCAAAATTAACACAAATGAGTTTACTAAAAAGATTAGTTCACAGATTGATGCCTGAATTTTGCTTATGATTTTCTAAATGCCCATTTACTTACTTAGTCCCTGACCTGCTTGAAATATTTCTGTTATTTCTTCATCTGACTGAATCAGTAATTTCCTTGTTGTGGTTTATCTGAGAGATCGAATCTACCTGGACTTGGTTGATTTTCATCTGTTTATTTTAGAAACGTGCAAACAGCAGATTTGGGTCTGGGCTAAACTGCTGAATTCTACATTTTCCCTAATCGCTGATTGTGTTTGGAGAATGATCCTTTCAACATATTCACATTTTATTTCACATGCTTTATGTAAACCTTACGATCTCTAGTAGCCTTTCTTGAGCAGTAAATTAAAATTTCTGCAGGAAATAGGTTTGTATATTTCTATTCAGTGATTACAAATATAACCTGAGATTTTGGCTAGAAAAGAAACTTCTTTACAACAGTGTTGGTCCCATGGGATAGGTAATAAAATTGGAAAGAGGAATTACAGTAGCTCTCAGACTAGTAAGAATTTAAAATTAAAAGGCAAATATTAATCAAAAGGTGATGACTGATCTGTATTTACTGTAAATCATACGGTGTGCAAGCTTGGAGGAGTAATTGAAAACTACTGGTTCTCCAGAGAGTTTCTACAGGGATCTCCTTGGACTTTTTTGACAGTGAAGTGTCTGAATAGAGCAGCAAAATTCATAAGGAATTCTGGTTCTGTTGAAAATGGAAAACAGTGGAAAATGGAAAGCCACTGTTGAGGTTTGTTGGGGAGCAGCACTTTCCCACCTCTGGAGAGTTAACCGGGATCCTTGGGTATCACCAGGCATCAACTCCCGGTGATTTTTGGATTTTGGATCCAGTTTTATGGTGAGTATTCGTTCAGCATTCCCAGTGTAGGGTCCAGCAGGGCACAAGGAGCAGGAATGGACCCCAGCCACACCGGAACCACAGGGTGGAGAGAGGGAGTATTTTAACCCGGGATTTTTCTGGCACTGTTCAGTGCATGGAACAGGTAACTTGCTTCAGGACTCTCTATAGTTTTTGTGAGCATTAGTGCTGAAAATCAGCTTGCTCTGAATTTCCCTGTGGCACTGATGGAGTTGAGGGCTCTGGACGAGAAGAGGGTGATGCTCCCACTGATGGAGCTGCAGAAGGAGACTCAGGCTCTGCATCTCCAGGCTGTGAAATCCAACACAACATCCACCGAGGAGCCGCACAGGTGCCAGCCGCACGCAGCCAGTCCCGCCCGTGTCCCCAGTGCTGGGGAGCAGTGACACGGAGCGGCGTCCAGCGCTGCCCGCCAGTGCTGCGGGACTGCTCACGCCCTTCCCGCGGGACACCCCTTTCCGGGGCGCCTCAGCCCGGCGACACTGCCGGCGAGAGGCCGAGAGGTGAAAATCCCGGAAAGGTGAAAATGCCGGAAAGGTGAAAATTCCGCTTTATGGGAGACCCGGCCGGCGGAGCCGCGGGCAGGGCCGCGCTCCCCTCACGGCGCATGCGCGCGGGGTTGGCGGGGCGGGTTTGGCGGGCGAGCGGCACCGGGGCCCGGCGGGGCTCGGAGCGCGGCTTTAGGGCCCGGCTTTAGGCGCCGTGAGCGCGGCTCAGCGGCTCTGTGACCCGGCGGCGCTAGGGCCCTGCGGGGCGCTCGTCGGGCGGCGTTAGGGCCCGGCGGGACAGCGCGGGCGGCTCTGGGGCCCTGCGCGCCCACGCCGGGGGTCTCGCCACCCCCCCCTCCCGCCATAGAAGGAGCAATGGCGGCGCCGTAGCGCGGCCGCCGAACCCCCGCCCGAGCGCCGCGCCCGGGCCCGGCGGGAGCCGAGCGGGGCCGCCGCTCCTCCTCCTCCTCCCGCTGCCGCTGCTCCCCGCAGCCCCGCGGCCGCCATGGCCACCGAGCTGGAGCCGCCGGCCGCCGGCGCCGTGACGGGCGCGGCGCCGCTGGAGGCGGAGGAGGACGAGGAGCACTGGCTGTACGGGGGTAGGTACCGCCGGCCGCGGGGGCAGCGCGGGGCCCCGGCCGGCAGCGGGCCCGGCCCCGCCTCAGGGCCGCCCCCGCCTGCGGGGCCGTGCGGGACCGGGGGCGGCCCCGCGGGAGGGAGGGACCGACCGGGCATCCCTCCATGGGCCCCTCAGAGCCACCGGGCATCTCTGCCTAGGCCCCCTCAGAGCCACCGGGCATCCCTCCATGGGCCCCTCAGAGCCACCGGCCTGTGCCCCCCGGGCCCACAGAGGCACCGGCGGCCGCCCCCGGCCTCCCTCTCTGGGCGGCTGGCGGAGTGTTATTGTCCTTTATCAGTAACACGGATGCACAGAGGTTAAGGCGATGCTTTGTTAAGAGTTTCAGGTCGCTAATCACCCAAACCGTGTGAACCCCTGGGCTAACGGGGCTGGGATGTGGCCAGTATAAACCACAGGATTTTATTGAAACGTCTTTGTCCTCCCCATAGGCTTTCCACATGATTGCTTTTATGTTTCTTCTTCCCTGGCACGTTGAAATTCTATATAAAGACCTTCATAAGTGACTTCAGTTCCTGTCAGATAGTTGTCTCTGTTCTCTGAGACTTAAGATATATATTTTGTTTGGTGTGAGGCATCACCTCTGCAGATGGGTGGTGTTTGTTGGTTTGAGTTTATTTTTAGTTGTTCCATTTCTAGTTGAACTTTGTTGAAGAGAGAGCATTAGGGTTATAGTGCCTTGGCACCACTGAGTATTTCTGTACCTGTGATGCCTTTTGTGCTTGAATTTATCTTTTTTCCTTTCACTTGAATAATTCCTTTGTTCTTACTATTGTTTTTGCAGATGACACCACTGGTAAGCAAGAAGATGGACCAATTTCTGGGTGAGTCCTGAGGCTGTTTATTCATTATAACAATACATGGTGTAAAGATTGAGCCTTGTTGAGCAGAGCTCTGTGAATGCTTTGGAGCAGTGCTGCTGCCAGGAACAGCAGCCTGTCCTTGCCCCATCCCATGGGACCATCCCCAGCTGAGGGTGGCAGGCATTTATGGATGTGGAAGCTGAACTGAATGAGTGGACTGGTTTGATTTAGAGCTAACTTTTAGCCCTTTTTTTTTTTTTTTTTTTTTCCTCTCAGCAGTTAGTTTCAAACCAGTTCTATTTTCCAGTTTAATTCCCTGGGAAAAACGATGCCCTGAGTGAGGACTGGCATTGTGCTGGCCTGGCACTGGTAAAGTTGGGCTGTGCTTTAGTCTGGGAAAGGTAAAAACTTTGAGCTTGGGTTAAAATACTCAAACCAGCTCATTCTGTGAGATCTCTCAAGTGGTGTGGGTAAGACTTGGAGGTAAAACCAATAATCAGTTTGGCTTTCTGTGTGTGGAAGGGATTGTCTGTCCTAGGTTATATTTCCTCTCTGTTTGTAGCTATGTGTTTGTTCAGCAGAGCTTGGTCTCAGCACAGGATTAGCTGTTTGCTGTTTTAAATGTAACATTTTTCAGAAGGCTTGGTTTTCCCTGGGCTTGTGTGTGTTCAGCCCCTTCCAAAGTTCAGTTTAGTGTTTATTATCATTGTAGGTGCAGTGTCTGGAATGTTGAGGTAGTTACAGACACTGTCCTACTTTTGTGCTTAAGGAATATGAAAACTTGTTCAAATAAATGAGTGGTAAAAAACATGGTAAATTGTTACCTAAAAACATCAAATGTGCTTTGTGAGGAGGAACAACTTTTAGAGAGAAATTTACAGCTGCTTTACATAAATCTGCTGTTCCTTGTCACATTCATCTGAATGTAATTTTACTTTACAAGCAGGACTAAAAATCTGAATTTTCAGCAACTGTCTCCAATAACTGCAAAATGCAGGAAAGAATAATATTAGTGGCCATGCTGGCTTTCTTTTTTTCCCCCCCTTTTTATTTTTTTCCCCATATTTCTTTGTTGCACAATGAGAATGTACCTAAATGAAGAGCTGTGGGGTGTTTTAAGAAAAATGACTCTTTGTTTGCTCTGCTGTCAGCAGCTGCAGCTCCAGGGATGCACTGCTGGCTTGTCTGGGGTATTTGTCCCCAGCCAGGGAGCAGAAATCTGCAGAGTTTGGGATGCAGCATCATTGATATTCCCAAGCCTAAGGGATGTGTTAAATGCCAGCAGGATGCTGTGCTGTCAGCAGTGCCCAGGATTGTGTTGGCATTCTGGGGAAGTGAAATCTCTGCCATGTTTTTGTGTGCCCAGATGATGCTGGGGACCTGTCAGAGGGGTTAGGAAAAGGCTCCTGGTTCCCAAGTGTCTCCCTGAACTCCAGTTCATACATTTTAATGCACACCCACAGATGCTTCATGTGACTTGCAGCTGAAGGTAGCACTTGTCACTGTTCCTGAGCACAGTCATCTCAGAGTTCTGAGGAGATTCAGGGCTGGAGGTCAGTGCTTGGATTGGGCAAAAAGGTTTTGGATCCATCAGAGAGATTTTCTCCAGTGGTCCATGCTTTGGTCCTCACATCACAGCCTGTGTCTGCAGTATGGAAACACCTGGAGGCAGATTTTCCCTCTGACACCTTGGCTGCCTTTTATACCTGCAAGTGTGTGCAGGTGTCACATCAGGAGCTTGGCACCCATGGGACCTGTGCTTGGTCAGCTGCCCGACCTTCAGCCCTCTTTTTCATCTCAGCCTGATGAGTTTCTTTGTATATGGGACTTCCCCAAAATGGGGCTTCAGTTATGCTCAGATTGTTTGTTCTTTGTTTCACACTCAGTAGCTGTTGTGTTGTTTTGCCTTTCTCGTGTGGTATCTCACGTCACTCTGAGGTGGCTTTGATGTGACCAGTGTTTGGATTCTCTGAGATGTTGCCTGCTCCTTTTTGAAGACAATCCTGTGGATGTTTGTTGTCTGACAGGGGATTTTAAATTAATAGCAACATCTCCACAAAGCACCGGTGGAGAATTAGGTTGGCCTGGGCTGTTCTGATTGTCCCTCTTGAAAATCTCAGAATTATTTTGAAGTTCTGCTAAGTTTTACCTATGACATTAGAGGCAAATAAGGTCTCTTTTCAGTTCTGTAACACTTGGCACACTCTTTTTTAGCATGTTTACATCAGTTCCACTTTCTTGCTTGGCCAGTGCAATAAACAATGTTAACATTTGTACAAACTCTTTAAACTGGATGTAAATCCAAACCTGACCACTGTTTGATCAGGTCTAATTTGTAATGAGTGAGAAGAATGGGTGCATAACTATCTGACTTTTCCTTTTGGAATTTGAACTACTTACTGTAAACTATTTGTAGAAATATTTGTAAAATCACTTTTTCTTTAATTTCTCTGGGACAGATGCCTTTGCTGCTGACTAAATGCACGTGTAATTATTAGCATCCTTAAGGAGGAGGTGAAATTTTGCTTATTATGGTCTTATTCTTATCAGTTGTGATTGTGCCAAATCTGAGCTGAGCCAGCTGCCACTGAGCTGTTGAGTGCTGTCAGGTGCTCTCTGGATGTGTGAAACTGATTCTTCCCAGCAAAAGCAAAGCCAAGGCAGGAGGATGGATTTTTTTGTCAGGTAGTTGAGCAAATGCCAGCAGAACAATCACACAACAAGAATAAAGCATTGTGTGAAAGTCACCTGGGTAAAGGCTTTAGAACTGGTTGTAGGTGACCCTCCAGGCTGGGCTTGTCCATTTTCTGTTCTGTGTCGTGGTCACTTTGTTTTCTCTGTCCCCTTCTGCAGACACACAGAATCTGCTCACCCTCTGCAGGATGCCCCCCAGGAGAGCCGGCCTGTCAACAACGAGGACAGGGAGATGTCCCAGCATGTACGTGGGGATTTCTGTGCTTCTCAGCACTCCTGGGGACAAACAGGGAGTCTGAAGATCCTGGTACTGCCTAACACTTTATATTTGCAGTGTTGGGATGTACTGCCAGCCATTCCCAAGCAGCTCCAGCAACAGCCTTGTCTTACCCTGCCTTGAGTGGTGGGGAGGGAGCCCTGGTGCAGGCTCTGCTCTTACCCTCTCAGGAGGCAGATCAGGGTCTCTGATGCTGCAGTCTGGTAGGAAAAGCAGAACACGATGTGTTCCAGCTCAACATTCAGTGTGACTTCTCAAGGACATGTAAAATACGGGAAATACTGGGATAGAAAGCCCAGGGTGCTGGGAATGAGTTTAGGTTCAGGCTCAGACCTCTTAGAATGCAATCTGGTGGCTTGGTGCTGAAAGAGGAGGAGGAGGAGGGTTGATTCTCTCCACCCTCCTCTCCTGGGCTCTTTGATGGGTTTGTTTTCTGCCACATCAAGAGGGTTCATGCAGGGTTCTGACAGACCCACATGCTGTGGAAAAGGAGGAAGGGTGAGGGACACCTTCCTCATGCAGGGTGAGGTGTTAATTCAGCTTGTGCTTCTCACAAAACTGCACTTGCTGCAGATCTGCAAGATTTCTTTCCTATTCCTTTTGTGCCCAGCACTGGGGTTGCACTGGAGTCAGATCTGTAAAGTGAAGTGACTTGGGGGCTGATTGTGCTGAATCAGCCAAACCAAACTCCTCAGCAGCTCTCTACCACAGAAATTGTGGTGAGAGAATATTTACCTTGAGGTTCTTAGGTGAAGCCTGGTGAAAATGTATTTTGGTGGTTTTCATTTGTGGTTGTGTATTTGACCATGGCCCTGGTGAAGGACGTGTGTCAAAAAAGCCCCAGCTCTGAAAAAGAGTGGGGCAGAGGAGCTGAGGGATGTGGTGAAATTCTTAGAACTGAGCTAAACCTTCCCCAGGCTCACAAATATTACCTCAAATTTCATGTAGGGCCAAATCTTCAAAGGACACGGGAGTTTCTCTGTGGGCAGCTGCCCGTCGTTGTTGAAGGCTGTTCAGGAAGCTCCCTGAGATTTGGCTGTGCTGGAGAATTCTCAGTTGTGTGCATTGATGAGCTCCTGTGTGCCTGTGCTGTTGCAGGCCCTTCCCAGTGGTGAGGATGATGAGGATGACAGCGACAGTGACAGCGATGACGACGACGTGAAGGTCACGATTGGCAACATCAAGACGGGAGCGCCGTCCTACATGTGGGTACTGCTGGCTGTGGGGTTTGCTGAGGGAGCCCAGCATGTTGGGGTGGAAAGGGGGTGAGCTGAGAGCTGCTCTGGCTCAGGACACCACCATGGGCTCAGCAGCTGATGGGCAGCTCTGCCCTGCAATTGCTTGTTGGAGAATCCATCTGGAGAATGGGAATGGTGATGCTGCTGGAAAATTAACTTACTAATTCCTGGGCAGAATCGAGGGTGGGAAGTTCTGTTTAACCCATCTGTGAAAACTTCCAGAAGCAAAATCTGTATTGCTAAGAATTTGCATCAGCTGTGAATTTACTAACTTCCAGCTGTCTGATTTTTCTGTGGCTCAGAAATGGCGAGGCTGGATTTGAGAACAGAAAATTATATTTTTTACAACTCTGCCTAATGTGCATTGAACAAAAATAGTAAGACAGCACTTTTGCTTGCTGCTAGCAGCCTTCCTCTTACACAAGCTACTTACCTGTGCTTTGCTGCATACTCTAATTTTTCCACTTTATGGATAATTTCCTTCTCTTGTTGTAGAGGTGGTTTCACTCTGATGGATGACTCTGAATAGCAAACCCAGGTGAAATAAAGCATCTCCTGAAGGGTGTCAGGGCTTGAATATATTTTGCATGAGAATCTGTAGCCAAGTAATTTGTTCAAATGCCAATGTAGTGATTCTTTTCCAATAGGGGAACTCCTATGAATCTAAACTTAAAAACGGGTAGAGGCTATGGAGCGTCAGCTTCAGGTATTGCTGTTATTTTTATCCTTCACCTTTGCAGTATTTCACCTACCTGGCACTGACAGCTGCAGCAGCTGCAAATTTGGCTCTGTTTGAAAGGATATAGAGTTAATGTATACCAGGAATAGGAAGTGCATTCCCTAAAAATCGGTGTTCCCAGCACAGTCTGAGGGGCAGGATGCAATGGAGTGATTTAATTACTCATCACTGAGCAAGGTGATAATAATTCTGTTCCAACTAGGAAAAAAATATATCGATTGATACTTTTACTATAAAACCCAGAATATTTCTAAAATATATTGTTGCACTGGGGCTGAGCTTTTCAGCCCTGGAAGGGACTGGAACTCAGAGTCCTGAGCTACTTGCAGAATAAAATTCTAAAAGAAACAAACTCTGGCCTTGAGTATCAGCTGTGTTTATTGGGCTGCTGAAATTTTCCCCACCATTCAGTTTAGTTTCTACTGTAAATTGACTCTTGGGTTCTGTTCTTCCACATATGTGAGACTGTCTTTTCCTGGGCTTCATCTACTCCCTTCCACTAATTGCTTTATCCAAATGAATTATCTTCTGATTGAGAAAATAAGAACAGATTCCCCTTGTAGATTCTGTACCTGAGTTTTGCAGGCTCCTCTTAGTCCACTAAAGACTGGTCCTGAAAAAGTCTCTTGTTAGGAGAAAATGTGTCTGTCTTAGGAGGGGAAAATAAATACTTTGCCTGGGGATAAAAAAATAATTTAATTTTATTTTCATTTGGGATAAATTTCATGCATATCCTAATGATTTGCTCTGTCTGTAGTACCAATCTGGGTTGAATTTGCTTCTCTGCTGTTCAGCTGCAGGTGCTGCACACCCTGTTTGTTTATGGAGTGACTGGAGTCCTTTTTATTAAAAAGCTGATTGTGGTTACCTGCGTGCTGTAAAGCCAGTGATTAATTCACTGCAGTGCTTTGTTTTTGCTGGATTAATTTGCTGAGCAAATGAGTGGATTAAAGGCATTGCATTAAAAGTTGTAACATCCCTCTCTCCCCAAAGCCAAGCTGCAGCCCAAAGGTATTGACTTGGATGCTGCAGGGAATATAAATGGATTGCCTGTGATAGAAGTGGATTTGGATTCATTTGAAGACAAACCGTGGAGGAAGCCAGGTGAGGCCTCACAGTTCCTTGTGGTAAATATTTTCTGCAGTTCTACTTGTGTCTCTTTATTTTCACATGTAATTTCTGTCCATTTATTGTTGCCAGGGAACAGGGAAGCTGGAACAATGTGTGTTGCTCAGCCTCTGCTGCCTGGCTAGACAATCAATGGCATTTACTGATTGAACAAGCCATGCTCTACGTAAAATTGGGTTGCATTTATTGCAGTAATTGAACTTCCCTAAAGGGAGCAGCTATTTTTTTTTAAATGGTCTGTTTTATTAATTCCCTACTTCCAGAGAACATTGCACTGATACCAATCCAATAATGCTTGGCCTTAAAGGCAGCTGTGTGGGGTCAGGATTTGGGTGTTGATATTTGTGTTCCTCTTCCTGTGCAGGAGCTTGTTCTGTGTCCCCAGGCCAAGCCCAGAGTTGTCCCTGTGGTCCCTCCTCATTTGGGTCCTGGGGCTGCCCACACTTATTTGTAGGAGGGAGATTTCTCCTCTTACAGCTGTAGGAAGCTACAAATCAACTGCTGTTTTTCTTCTGATACAAAAATAATTGAAGGAACTAGACATCCAGATTTTTGCTGTGCTATTCTCATAAAATGTGCTGTGATTAAATGTCAACTGAAACAAAAAGTCCACTTACCTTTTCTCAGCCATCATTTTTCTCCCTGCCAGCCCCTGTATTTTATTTATCTTTCAGCAGTATTGCTGTGCTGAGTAAGTAGAGCTTTCCTGAGGTTGCCTGTGCTGTGGTCTGCGTATCTCTTGCCCACAAGAAGGGCACTCCAGTGCTGAAAGCTCCATGGGCATGTCCAGGTATCAAACCAGCACTGAAGCACCCTGCAGACAGTGCAGGCAGAATGGAACAGAAGCTTTTCTTCTGCAGGGATATTTTCTCCTTGAGTGCCAAGTGAGACAGAGGGGAATGGGAAGAAAATCAGTTAGAAAGGATACAGTGAAGTTCAAAGATAAAGCATGGACACGGTTGTGGCCATGCTGACATCCCTGGACCAAGATAGAGCCAGCTGGCCCTAAAACAGTGTTGGAATGCAATAGAGGGAAGATTTCTGCAGAGCTGTGTGGTCTGTAAGTTTATTTTAGATAGCAAGTAACTCATTACTCAACAGCCTTTCAAGTTTATATCCTTTACAGTTAATTGTTCAGCAGCTTGGTATGTCTTTGAGTGAGGGAGTGGAAGGAGAAATCCAGTGTGGAAGAACTGATAGAGGCCTGAAATAGAGGCTGATAAAATCGACGAGTAAATGTTGTGTTGCTGAGTCTGTGTGGATGCAGTTTGCATGTTTGGGTGGTACAGCAGGAAGAGTGGCCAGCCCAGGAGATAAACCTCACTGCTTAGACCTCACAGTTAAACTAAGCTCAGCTTGGGCAGAGTTCTGCTTTGCCCTTGTAGCAGCTCTTTGTTTTGGTCTGTGTAGGAATATCTTTGTGTGGGGGATGTTTGAGGGACACCTCAGCAGGGCAGGAGTTGCTTTGTAGTGCTGGGAGGTGGGAGGGGAGCTCCTGGAATTCCTGCAGCTGGAATTGCCCCTCTGCATCTCTGGGTTCTTGGCAAGCAGTTTGTGGTCACCTCTTATTCAGAAGTGCTCGTGCTGAATTAGCACATTGCACAGGAGACTGGCAGTGGGAGATAACACTCTGGGGTGGCTAATTAGGGTTGTGACTGAACTTTAATTACTTGTGCAGTCCGAGGTTCATCAATACAAACCTTCCACTTTAGCTGCCTTTCACAAAATGGGCGAGCCCCAGAATCTCCTCTCCAAACAGCAAAGGCACTGATGGTCAGTAGGGGAATGTGTGGGCTTAGTTCTGCCAGGAAAAAGGTTCTGTGGCTCCACCCCATTTTTGTGGTGGGGGCTGGAACTGTCACTCCTGTGCTGTGCCCAGCATTCAGCTCGTGTGGACAGTTGGAAAAAACCAGCCTGAAAAAATCAGGCTGGTGAATAAGTGATTGCAGAGAGCTCCCGATGGCCTGTGGAGGTGCTGTGCTGTGTGTCCCAGGGGTCCCACTGCTGTGCTGTGTGTCCCAGGGGTCCCACTGCTGTGCTGTGTGTCCCAGCTTGTGTGTCCCAGGGGTCCCACTGCTGTGCTGTGTGTCCCAGGGGTCCCACTGCTGTGCTGTGTGTCCCAGGGGTCCCACTGCTGTGCTGTGTGTGCCAGGGGTCCCACTGCTGCTCAGGCCATGTCCCCCTCCCACCCAAGGTGCAGCCACTGTCTCCTCTGTGGCACCCACAATTTTATGCCAAGGAAAGGCACAAGCTGGGCTCTCTGGAAAACTTCTGTTGCCTTAACTCTTTATGTGAGCACTTAAAGGACAGCTTGAGAATGCAAATGAACAGAACCTCTGTGTTAACTCCTGCTCCCTCTGCCAGGTGCTGATCTTTCTGATTACTTTAATTATGGATTCAATGAAGAAACATGGAAAGCTTATTGTGAAAAGCAGCGGCGGCTTCAGCTGGGGCTGGACCCTGCTCCTCCTATCAGCACTGAGAACAAGATCACGGTGGGTGACTTGTGACTCCTGCTCCTGCCTCCAGGAAAACTGGGATTATGGTTGTAGTCACAGAGATGAGGGTGTAAGAGCACGACATATCTCAGTTCTGAACTGTTCTGTGTTCTTTCAGCAAGGAGAAATGCAAAAATGAATCATTAAAGATTCGATCTCTGTTGAAAATCTTTTCTGTGTGGAAGGAATAGTTCCATCAGCCTGACAGGTTTGAACCACTACAGCAGAGTGAATTTCCAATTGACTTTTAGGGGTGTCTGCTTGGAAAACTCTCTGGATGATAGAGGTGCAGGGAGGGGAGCTGGGCCCCCAGGGTTGTTTTGCTCACTGCTGATGCTGCAGTGGTGTGGCTGCCTTTTGTGTTTGCAGACTGCTTTGGCCATCAGCCTTGCAGGAATCCACGGTGGCCATCAGAACTTGAGCCAAATTGTCAGTACAGCAGGTATTGCTCATTCCAGTTTTGACTTAGTGACTCCATGGAAAATGATATGAGTTGAATAAACTCATTACAGGACTTCTGATGGGAGACAGTGGACAGCAGGCTGAGGCTGGAATGGCCACTAGGTGCCAGAAATGGCTGTGCCTTGACTGAAGAATGGGTTGCTGTGATTGTTCATTTTCTCTGGCTGAGGGTTAATCTCCATCTTGTGTGTTATCTATTTCCTTCCATAGGTTCAGCAGGGAAGAACAGGCAATGCTGAAAAAGAAGTTGAAAACAACATCATCAAAACAGAGTTCAAAACAGACTTCTTGGCTCTGGTGGGAGGACGAATGAAGGCTGGGCCTCCTCCCAACAGGTAAGAGAGGAGCATGTTTTTTATGGGGGCACCTGGGAACCACCTGGGCCATGGCTGAGTCTCCTCCAACTTCAAAGAGAACTTTTTAAGCTTGGCAGGAAGCCAAGTGTCACCTGCAGCAGGGCAAGCCCTGCCTGCCCATTGCCCCCTCCTTGGTGCAGGGAGGGAATTCCTGGATCCCAGCTGATGGGACACATCTCTGGGAATGGAAGGAGCCAGGCAAACACCCCAGCTTTGAGGGCTCACACTGCTGACATTGCTTGTGCTTGCTTGGCTTATTCCCACTCCCACGATGTTAATCTTTGCCTCCTCAAGTGGAAGTGGATTACGAGTTTGGCAGAGGATAAGAGGAGCTGTTGGTTCCTGAGCCTGTGTGCGACGCTGCTGGATGTGTGGTAAAACAACTGAGTCATTCTGAGGGGCAGCCTCTGCTGGGGAAAGCACTTGGCCCTTAGCACATCAATGGGGTTTTATCAAAAGCTTCAGAAGAACACACCAGACGAGCCTGAGCTTTGGGCTCGGGGTGTTTCTGTTGCTTCACTCACAAAACAGCTTTTGCACACCTGCCTTGCAGAAAGCAGCCCTGCATCCCAGCTTTACCCCTTGGCTGGGAACCAACTCTGTGCTTCAAGGATGAGCCTTAAAGCTCTGCTCAGTCTGTTGGATTTGAGCACTTTGGGGGCATTTCTGTCCCGGTGTGCAATCCCTGTTTTGACACCTATTCGTGGTGGCTCTTTGGATCACTCTGGGTGTTCAGAGAGCCCAAACTCACCCCTGCTCAGAGGGAAATTGTTCAGGAATGCAAACGGGTTTCTCATCTTCTCATCCCAATTTGAGAGCTGTTTCCCTAGTGGGAAAGAAAGCATGAAAGAAATCTGCTGACAGCAGGGAGAATTGCTCCTGCTGCTTGTGAGCCTAAAAAGATGCGTGTGCTTTGTCCCAGGAAGCTGGGTGGGACCATCGATGTGATCGGGGGCCAGGCAGGCACGATCCGCAGGGTGGAGGGGAGACGTCGGGATAAACACGCCTCGGAGGAAAACCCCATCCAGGTAAAGCTCTGTGCTGCCTCGGCAAATTGCTGATTTTATTGCACTTCTGCTGAACCCTGGGCAAAAGTGTGTGTGTTCCTCATCTCCCACGTCTCAGTTCATACCTGCAGAGCAGCAGGTAAAACACGGACCCTCTGTGAGGTGTGTGCATGGATCATTCCCTTCTGCGGACTCAGTTAGTTTCTGAGTTAAAAGCTTGGTCTTGCTAGGAGCTAGATTTGTCCTTTAAAGACCAGTTTTCCCTTTGGAATGGTAAGGCTTGAGTTCTTTCATCATCAGCTCTCCCAAAGTATTTCTAGGAATGTGTAGCTGGGAATGTGTTCTGTTGATTATTCCCTTCCACTGTGGGTTTGGAATCTTCAGATCTGCAGTGAAGTGCTTGTACCTGGAGCTGGTGTTTCTCTGTAGTTTAAAGTAACATTTAGTTTTAAAGCAGTTGGTGCAGCCCACACCTCAGACTGAGCCTGGGCCTGTGTTACTGGATCTAGTCCCTTGTAAGAAATGAAAGCCTGAGTTTAAAGCTGGTCTCAGTTCTGGGCTTCCCTGCCCAGTGTGTGACCATAATGTTCTGGCTGGTTCCAAGGCAGGAAGCTGCAGGGTCTGAGGACCATCAGGGGCCAAACCCCCTTCTCTTAACCACCTTCCTCCTGCCAGCACTGCTAACTTACCATAAAAACCTGAACATGGAACCTTCCCCTTCTAGGCCCAATCCCTTGGGTTTTTCTCCATGGTTGTGTGGTCTGTTTATTTTTTAGTAGTCGGTTTTCCAGATTTTGCCAAGAAAAGAGTTAGCTGGGAAAGGGTTGTTTGCTGTTCTCCCCCTCACAAGCACTGCCAGCTTCACTTCAGGTCACTGTGCTGCCTCTGCATTTTGGTCCCTCTTCAGGCATGGCCACAGTCCTGTTGTGGTGATGCTGCCAGCACTCTGAGGGTCCTGCTGCAGGAGCCAAGGGATTAAAATGCTCTTTTCTCATTCCTGTACCCCCTAAGGTCCTGGGAGACCATGGCAGTAAGCCCCAGCCCCCCCAGCAGCCCCAGCAGCCCTCCCAGCCCCAGCAGCCTCCTCAGCAGCAGCCCTTCGCTCCACCGGCAGGGCCCCCGCCTCCCCCGCTCGCCGGGCCTCCTCCTCCTCACTTCCTGCACCCTCCTCCTCCGGTGACTTCTGTTCCTCCTCCCCTGCATCCTCCAGGTACGTGGGCGCTCCGTGGAATGGGGGTTGGGATGTTCCAGCCTTGGAGCACATCAGAGGTGTCAAGGTTCAGTGCCATGGGAGGGGTGAGCACTCAGGGGACAGATCCTTACCCTGGCCAGCCTTTGTTCAGTCTCCATCAGCCTATTTAATGTTTGCCCTGAATGCTTAAAAATGGCTTGGGGAAAAAAAAAAAATCTCTGGGCTCTGTTTCCCTGAGGGAACCTCCCAGTGCTACTGATCCATTTGCTTTATTGATGGAAGTCAAGAAGCAGGTTCCTGTTTCTCTGGAGGAAGCTGAGAACTGTGGTTTCTGGATTAAACTTTTGAAGTGGGGGGGCACATTCTGGGCTTCTGCTGGTCCTGGAGCAGCAGCCAGGATCTGGAGAAGGCACCAGGAGCACTTCATGTACTGACTCCTGCCTGGGGAGGATTCACTGCAGCACTCATGGCTTCTTTTCCCTATAACTTCTCCATGGTAGCTTTTCCTACTGCCTTGGATTAAAATGCTTGGCAAAATGGAGAAATGGAGATGGAGACACTGGAGTGGAACCTGCAGCAGATTCTCCTCTCCAGCTCCTTCAGTTGTTCTGAATCAATTGTTTGTGTGTTCACACTCAGAAAAGGAGTTCCCCAGTGTAAGAGAACAGCAACATTTTAAATTACAAAGGTAAAGAGATCATAATTTGAGAAAATTGTATCATTTATAGACTAATTCCCACTTAGTAGCACCAATTTTTCTGCTGCTCTCTTTGCTCCAGTATGTGAGATTTATTCAAAGTTGTGCTTTGAGGTTTAGCAGAGAGTCCATGAAGTGCAGAGAGGCCACACTTTCCCTATTGGCCTCACTTGTTTTTCCTTCTTATTTCCACAGGCCTGCCACCTCCAGGTCCAATTCCAGGTAGGTGTTACCTTGTTCTTAATAACAGCAGCAATTTTGATCACACAGGTTCAGAGCATTTGGACTAAGTAACATGAAATAGGATGGCAGCAGTTTAGAGCACAGTTAATTTGAGATAAACAAACTCCACCTGAGCATTGAAGCTGGGCTGTTTATCTTCTATTCTGACATAAATCTGTAGGTCAGAATATTGATTGTTATATTCTGATCAGAATGCAATGTGTCTGCATCCTCAGAACCACTTTTCCTCCATAGAGCTGTAGGAGTTAATTGTTACTCCTTGATGGATCTTATGTTCAGTATTTATAAGCCAAACTAGAAAGTAGTTTTTGCTGTTTTTCTTCCCATATCCCTAACAAAAACTAACTAGAGCTTTAGGGTGGGAATTTGAGGGGATCATCCTACCCTGAAGGAAAATTATTCCATTTTAAACAGGGTCTTGTTTAGAGTAAAAAGATGCTTTAATGCTTTTGAACTGTGAACAGCACTTGTGAAGCTGCAAGATCTTGGTGCTGATTTACCCCTCTGTGTTTAGGGTTGTTCCCACCCCCTCTGGCACCACCACCAGCTCTCCTCATCCCAACCTTGGATGGGTAAGACCACACCTGGGTAAGATCATGCCATGGGAGCAGCTCCCCTGGAGGGAGGGAGGAAGGGAGGAGAACAGGTCCAGAATCAGAGCTGGGGATGCATGGTCTGCTCTTGGGTTGGGTGAGGGATGAGAGCAGAGTCTTGTCAGGAATCCTCTGTGCATTCACCTGGATTTGTCATGTTCAGGGCACAGGAAGGAGCCAATAAAATCTGGGTAAAGCCTAGAGTAGTTGATGGCATGATTTCTCTGGAGGTGCTCCAGGTATTTTGTGAGCACTGGTGCTTTCCCAAGGCAAGCAGTGGGATCATGGCAGGTTTGGAAGCTGTGGCAAAACCCTTGAGCATTTCTGGTAGTGGGATTCCCATAGGAATGCTCCACAAACCTCCAGGAAAAACAGGGTGGAGCTGCAGCACAGCCAGAGCCGTGGGGGTCCCTGATGTCAGTAACTCACCCCCTTTTCTCTCCCAAAGGCAGCCAGCCAGCTACAACAACAGGCAGCCACCTCCCTTTGGCTACAACTCTGCAGGTGAGCACCAGCAGGACCCATCCCACTGCTGCTCTCTCTTGCCTGGCTCTTGGCAGCCCAGGCTTCTCTGAGGCTGACACACACCATGGCTGCTCCCAGACAATCCCAGGCAGGGGCACAGCCAGGCTGGCTTTGGTGCACTGGGTGTTGTGCAGATGTGGTGCTGCAGTTTTGTGGCTGAGTGCTGAGGCTCAGGTCACTGTTCCAGTGTTCCAGGGCAGATCCCCAGCACAGAGAAGCTTCCCCAGTGCCTCAGCAGTGTTCTCCTGCCCATTTGCACACACTTGAGCTCGCCCTCACTCACAAATTCTCCCTTTTCCCCACCCTCAGGGATTAGCACAACCATCCACAACTCCTGAGCTTGGCATCTCCTCCCCGAGCTTTTGAATCCCTCCTCCCCCCCGTCACCCTCTCCCTTGCCTACAGGCACCATCTCCTGTGGTTCTGTGATGGAGAGGCAGTGCCAGGATTTCAGCAGATTCCCTTCCCTGGTGCAGCCCCAGTTCTCTCCCAGTCCTGTAGTGCCCAGCTGGGAGTGGCTGCTCGTGGCTGTGCTGTGCGCTGGGAGCTCAGGGAGCCCTGCAGGGCAGGGTTGGGGGAGTGGCAGTGCCAGCCCTTCCCAAGGAGAGGAGTGCTGCCAGATGTGGCACTGCTTTGGGATACAGCCTCACTGCTCCAGCAGTGACATCCTTCACTGGCCCTCCCCAGGTGCCACCCTAGAGCAGAAGGTACCCAGTGGGACGTGGGACCCTGTACAGGTGACCAAGAGCCCAGGGCTGACAGAGACTGTGCAGTGCTGCCTGTAAATGCCTGCTCTCAGAGAAAAAGTGTTCCCTGTCCTTAGCAAAGTGCTGGAAGGGAAGGGGAGGACAGCAGGGAGCTGGGCCATTGTCCCCTTGGATCTCTGCTGCCAGAGGGGGTTTTTGGAAGGGGAGGGACACAGGGGATGCTGGCCTTGCTCTGGCTGACGGAGGGTTCTGCTCTCTGGCTGCAGATTCAGGTTTCATCAGCTACCCCCCCATCTCCACGTCCCACACGCCCTGGGTGACCACGGTGGACAAGGGCACGAGCAGCTCCAGCAGCAGCCACTGGGAATACTCGGGCTCCAGGCGGGACAGGGAACGGGAGCGCGAGCGGGAGCGGGACAGGGAGCGCGACCGGGACCGCGACCGCACCCCGACCACCAGTGAATACAACAAGTGAGTGCCGCCCTCCTGCCGCCCTCCTGCTGCTCCCTGCACCGCCCTGGGACACCTCGGGGTCTGGCCAAGCCGTGGGTGATAGGGGACGCCAGCTGAATTCTCTGGAATGTCTGGGGAAGAGCTCCCTTGGATCAATAACTACAGCCCAGAGCAGGGGCTGTGTCACTGATTTCCTGTCTCTGGGTCTGGGCTTTTTTGTTTCAATCCAGCAGAACCAGTTCCTCTTGCTCTCCCGCGAGGCCAGTCAATGAAATAGCCCCTCTGTGTTTACTCAGTGTTTCACAGTTCAGTGTGAAGCACTGGCTGCAGGAGCTGCTGCTTCTTGTCTTCTAAATGTCACTGTCAGATCAAAGGACAAACAGCCTGCTCTGCTCTGCTCTCCTGTGGGGCTGGGAGTGCCATTCCCTGGGAGTCAGCCAGGAAATGGGAGCAGGACTGCAGAGACCACCTTGGTGGGAGCACTTGGGAAAGGACAGGAGGCTCGGAGCCTCCCTGTGTTATCTGAGGTGGAGGCTGGGCTGCACAGACTTCCCAAACCCATCCCTTTGGTGTTCAGTCAGCAGCAGCCTCGGTGTTTTGCAGGCTTCAGGCTCAGAAATGCCAATAATCACTCAAAACATGATCAGAATGTGCATTCCTGGCACAGAGTGCTTCCTGCCAGGGAGCTTCCCAGCACAGGGAGGGAGAAAACAGGGCAGTGTGCTCCTAATTTTTTTCTTTTTTACTTTATAATCTTTGGGGCACTGTGGATGGGAGTGAGGTGGGGGGGGTGAAGAGAACAGAAGACAAACTTGCTAAAATTGGAAAAGCTCAGACTCCCCCACTTCCTTGTGCTGGAGCCAAGGCGAGGGATCAGCTCTCCTGAGCACATTGCTGGCATTTCTGGGTGGTGTTGGAGCACCCTGGTTTAGGTCAAAGCAGGGCAAGTGGCCTTTGGAGCACTCCCAGCTCATTGATCCTGGATATTTGTTTGTCCAGCCTGCTTCCAGAAGTGTCAGAACTTCCTTTCTTCCAAGTCTGAGTATTGTTCCCACAGAGGGACTTGTTAACCCTTCAGATTTTGCCTTTCAGGAGTTTACCAGGGGGATGTACAGATGTTTCTGGGTGGGAAGAACAGGGAAAATAATTTTGAGGGGTTTTGGTCTGTTTGGTACTTGGGCTTGTTCTGTTTGTGTGAGTCCACCAATGTCTCATTTTCCTCTGACTTGTTATTTAAAACTGTCTGAAATATTTGTCCTAAAATAATATGGTTCTGAAATGCTCTGTATTTTTTGGTATTGTAAGCTTGGAAGTCTTGAGTGTGCTGGGAAGTGTCCAACCCGTGCCAGGAGAGCCCTTTGGTTCAGTTCAACATTGTGACAGTGCAGTGATGGGTTTGGAAGTGCAGGGCCCAGGGCACTTCTGCTGGGTTTTGGTTTTCATGGAGTTTCTTTTAAATGTGCTTGAGCTCCTGGGAAATGTGTGTGCACTGAGCCAGCGTTAGAGGGGAGTGTGGGATGTGCCTCAGTTTGGGGCACACCCTGCCCGCTCCTGGGCACTGAATGCGGTGCTTTGAGCAGGTACAGAGGTGCAGACAGAAACTGTGCTCACAATTTGGGGTTTTGAGCTCGTGGAGAAGAAAACAGAAAGGAGACAAAGGCTGGGAGGTTTTCTGGGCCGTGTGTGCAGAGGGAAGCCCAGCAGCGATGCGAGGAGCCGTGTTCCTGTCCCCGAGGCTTCAGGAGCACCCGCGGGCAGTGAGAGGTGCCGGCTGTCGCTGGTGACAGCGGCTCAGGCGCAGGGCCCGTGTCCCTGTGCCCACAGTGTCCCTTGTCCCCGCAGTGACGACGAGCGGTACCGCTACTACAGCCGCGAGCGCAGCTACGACTTCGAGCGCGATTATCGGCGCAGCCGCGACCGCAGCCGCGAGCGAGAGGAGCGACACCGCGAGCGCCGCCACCGCGACAAGGACGACAGCAGCAAACACAAATCCTCCCGCAGGTCAGTCCGGGCTCGGGACACTCTCGGGATGCAGTGACAGCTCCCTGTGTCCCACAGCCTGGGGCGGGAGGGACCCTCTGGGACAGGGAGGGGAGACATCGGGGGGGAGTTCCCACTCAGGACTGAGCTGGGCTCAGCCTCCAGCAGAGCTCCCGTCTTAAAAGGACTCACAAAGGCGGTGCGAGGTCATGACAGACATCTCTGGGGACAGTGACTCCATCACCTCCCTGGGCAGCCCATTCCAATCCCCAATCACTCCTGTGAAGAATTTCCTTCTGCCTGCACTCAGGAATTGAGCAGGAGGAGCAGAGCTCTTGCCCAGAGCCTGATAGTGAGGGAGGTGATGGTCTGCACCAAGGTGAAACTCCTGGGGCAGAGCAGCCTGTCCTGAAATCACAGCTTTTCTGCAGAAAGTGGATTTACAACAGATGATCTTCCTGGAAGAGCAATCCCCAGCACAGCAGCAGCTCTGTTCTCTGGGCTGAGATAGGTCCTGTGTCACTTCACACCCCATTCATGACTTGTCCTTTTTTCTTTATGCTTCATCTCCCTTCTTTGAGATGAAATTCCTGTCAGCTCTGTAGGTAATTACCCTTATTTTGAAACTGGTATCAGAAAAACTCCTCTGTAGTGACTGGAGGAAAAAGGCAGTTTTTATCCTTAAGGAGATGAGTAAGTTTTCAAGGAAGGACTGATTGCTGAAGGGTTGGAAGCAAAATGATAGGAAGAAAGACTAAGACCATAATAAAAATAGAATACAGAACAACTGGAAGCTGAGCTGGTATCAGACAAACAAGTCATTGGCTTTAGGGTTATTTCTCAGCTGCTTCTATTCAGAATTGAAACCTTGGAGTAGATACCTCACTGTAGGAATCCAGCCCATGGTCCCCTCCAACCCAAACCAATCTGGGATTGCCTGCTTGAGGCACACTGAGGTTTGAGCCTGTTTGAGGCATCTGCAGATGAAAGGGTTTCATTTCCAGCTTCCTGCAAACTGAGCAGTCTGCAGGAAATCACTGACGCTGCTTTCAGTATTAAAGGACAGTGACATTGTCCCAGCATCAGCCACTGACACATCGGCCACGAGGTGGCTGAAGGTGTTTTGTGGAGAGGCAGCAGCCTTTTATTTTTTCCCTTTTTTTTTTTTTTTTTTTTTTTTGCTTTTAATGACTGTGAAACCATTTATTAAACCAGTCAGAAAATTCCTTGAAGCCAGGAGGTTTTCAGCCAGGTTCAGCCAGTTCTGTCTCTGCTGCTAAACTGGAATTCCAGCTGTGCTAAGAATTGCTCTGTACACCTGATGCTGTCCCTGCTCATGGAGCTGTGCCTGCACAGTCACAGTTCATCCTGGGATAAATTCATCTGCTTGTTCCTGCACTCTGGGCTGTGCTTTAATTCTGCCACTTCACACCACAGTCAGCTCCTGAGAGCTCCCTTGGTTTGAACCTGGTAGAGAAGCAGCAGAAAATCTCCAAATGGAGGGGCCAAACCAGAGCTGCCCCCTTTTCCTGGGGCAGGCAGAGCTGCTCCTGGGGCTGTGTTGGCTGCATGGAGCAGTGGCAGAGCACAGGCTCAGGGCATGCACAGCCTGCTCAGGCCTCTTCTGCCTGGGATTGCTCCCACATCACAGAAATCCTGGGTGAACATCCCCACTTATCCACCCACGTGTGGAAAACTGGGTGAGATAAAGGAGTTCCAAAGCACGAAGGCAGTGAAGAGCCAGGTCAGGTGTGAGGCAGCAGAAGCAGAAACAGGATCTGCCTCCCATGGGGAACCCACATTTCTCTCACTCCATTGATCTCTTTGCTGCCTCTTGTCCAGGGATTTCCCCAGCAAGTCCAGGGATTTCCCCAGCACACTCAGGGAGTGAAAGTTTTAAACAGGGCTCAAGTTTAGGACTCCTCCTCTTCCCCCTCCTCCTCCCAGCCTCGGTGCTGTGTCAGAATTGTTGGAGCTCACTCAGGAGTTGAAGATCAACAGGTGTTGCATGTGGACACTGCAGGGAGTGGCAGAGTGTGGCAGTGGCAGTGTGACAAGGGCAGTGTGTGACTGTGGCAGAGCGTGGCAGAGTAGCAGTGTGACAGTGTGTGGCAGTGTGTGACAGTTTGGCAGTGGCAGAGTGTGACAGTGTGACTGTGACTGTGGCAGTGTGTGACAGTGGCAGTGTGACAGTATGTGAGTGTGACAGTGTGGCAGTGTGACAGTGGCAGTGTATGACAGTGTGACAGTGGCAGAGTGTGACATTGACAGTGGCAGAGTGTGTGAGTGTGACTGTGTGAGTGTGACAGTGTGGCAGTGGCAGTGTGTAACAGTGACAGTGGCAGAGTGTGGCAGTGTGTGACAGTGGCAGTGTGTGACAGTGGCAGTGTGGCAGTGTGACATTGACAGTGTGTGACGAGTGTGGCAGTGCTGATGAATCTCAAAAATCGCCGCCGTGCCCTCGGCACCGCTGAGGTGGCTCCCATGGGTGGGGATCAAAGCCCCCGTGCCCATCACTGGGTCCCTGCTGTGGCAGGGCTGTGTCTGATGTCACTTTGTCGCCCGTGTCCCCTCTCAGGAAGCAGCACGAGAGCGAGGAGGGGGAGAGCCACCGGCGCCACAAGCACAAAAAGAACAAGCGGAGCAAGGAGGAGAAGGAGGCGAGCGAGGACGGTGCCCAGGAGGGAGAGGAGCAGGACACCAAGGAGTGAGGCAGGGCCCCCACCGGGAACTCACTCCTGTGGAACCAGCATGGCATTGGTGATGTTTTGCTTGGGGGGGTGATTTTTTTTTATTATTATTTTTTACTTTTTTCCAAGGGAAGAGGCTGACTGGGCGAGCCGTGGCACAGCCGGCAGTGCTTCGGGAGCCGAGGCTGCACGTGCCCTTAAACTTCCTTTTTTTTGTTTGATTTTGATACAAGACAATACAGCAGTACTAGTTACAAAGCACTGAGCTACTCTACTCATCCACATCCCTAGGGAGAACTTTGGTGTATCAGATCCTATGGTTTCTGATGGAAGATGGCTTCAGCTGAAACTAATGCAATTAGGTCATAGTTCTTGGTTCTTTTTGTCATCATCATTCCTTTTTGAGAACTAGGACAGTAAGTGCAACTTGAAATTTATTGTCCAAAGAACAGCGTGACTTAGATCCCAGGAGCCAGCTTAGAGTCTGGTGTCCAGTAGTAAAAAGTCTCATCCCCAAATAAATTTCTTTATAGCTACAAAAACAGCTTCTGATTTCTCCGTGGCCAGCTGGGTGTGTCAGGAGAAGCTGCAGGATCTGCTCCAGGTGGGCACAGGGGCCTGCCTGGATGTGGCAGCTTCCAGAAGCTGCTGAGGGAGTTCACACAGCACAGTGTGCAGAGACTCCAAAACTGGCTTTTTTTATCCGTTGCAAAGGTAGTTGTGTCATGTTACTCCTCTGCGTGGGGAATCAATGAAGATCCATAGCAAGAGCATGAATTTCTCTTTAATTCCTTTTGACTTAACTATTTTATTTCCTTTTTTTACTAAGAGTTGACTGAATAACCTAGAGTGCAGTAGAGAACACCAAGTCCCAGTTAGCAGTTTGCCCTCGTGGGGTTGGCGTTTCTATTTGGGTATCACCAACACTCCTGTCCAATGCATTCCTTTCCCTTAGATCCCAAAATAAATTTAGTCAAATTCCAAAGTTTCTTTGGACTTAGTATTGGTTGGGGAAGGGGCAACAGAGATGTTTCTGGGTGGGAAATAATTTTGAGGGGTTTTAGTCTGTTTGGTCCTGGGGATCCTGCCCTTCTGTTCGTGTGAGTCCACCAATGTCTCATTTTCCTTTTACTTGTTATTTAAAACTGTCTGAAATGTTTGTCCTAAAATAATATGGTTCTGAAATGCTCTGTATTTTTTGGTATTGTAAGCTTGGAAGTCTTGAGTGTGCTGGGAAGTGTCCAACCTGTGCCAGGAGAGCCCTTTGGTTCAGTTCAACATTGTGACAGTGCAGTGATGGGTTTGGAAGTGCAGAGCCCAGGGCACTTCTGCTGGGTTTTGGTTTTCATGGAGTTTTATTTAAATGTGCATGAGCTCCTGGGAAATGTGTGTGCACTGAGCCAGGGTTAGCTGGGATCAGGCTGCAGGGTGTTCCTGCCTGTGCAGCCACACTGGAGCCCAGATTGGGGAATATCACTCAGTGCCCCTGGGCAGCTCTGCAAGCTGCAGCACTCCCAGCTCCTGGCACCGGGTGTGCAGGGAACAAGGGAATCCTCCTGGCAGCTGCTGCTCAGGGCAGGGCTTCAGCTGGCAGTGCCCAAAAGCTTTCAGGAGAATGGAATGAACTTTCTGTGCCCCAGGAGAAATCCAGACCAGAGTGGTGAGGAGGATTCGGGGGTGCTTGGTCTGTGCTCACTGGCACCACACAGGACAGAGGTGCCCCCTTCCCTCAGGGGGGGCATTTGGTGCTGGCATTTTCCAGCACAGGAGCTGACCTGGCTGGGGCAGCCAGTGCCAGAGGGGGCCTGGGCAGTGCCCCCAGGCCCTCTGAGCTGGCTCTTCTGCCCCTGGAATGTTGCAGCCAGGTGAGGGGGTTGGTCCCTGCCAAGGACCTTTCTCCCAGCTCTGCATGCCCAGGTGTCCCGGGTGCCTCTCCAGGGGTGGCCAGGGCTGTTCACAGCCACTCCCCGAGCTCCTGCACTGTTGGAGTGACACAATTAATGGTGGGCACATCCAGTCTGCATCCCACCAGTCCTGGTGGTGCTGTGGGACTGGGAATTGGGAATCCAGCATGGATTCAGTCAGGGCTGCACCTCCTCCTGTGTTACTTCAGTGAGCTGGAGCCAAGTCACAGGATATGCTGAGGTGCAGGAAACTTTCACTAATGGGGGCAGGCAAAAGCAGGCAAAGCCCCAAAAAGGGGCCAGGAGCAGCTGGGAATTTAAGGTAAATAGTTTTAAATTGGTTTCATTAGGTAGAGATAAACTGTTTGCCTTTACTATCAGGGAAATGTAAAGGTTTGTTGGAAAATATTTGTGTTTGCATCAGGAAGCTGCTGCAGGTTTACTGCTGTTGGGATGTGGGGTTTAGTGTTGTTGAGGGATTTTTCCCAGCCACAGAGTATTTCAGGATGGTCCAGCTCCTTTCCTGGGAGAAGCAAAGACAAATTTCACTGTTTCCTGCCATGGGGTCACTTTTTGGAGCAGTCTTGCTGAGATGACCTGGGGGCATAAGCTGCTACATGGAAAGAAGGGGTTAAAGACCACATCTCTAATGCACATTTTTCAGCACTATTACAATAATTTATAAAGGCATCAAAACAAATTCAACATCTATTAACAAGCTGATTTCGGAAAAAAATTTAAATTACGAGGACATTTTGGTGAAGTTGAAGGCACCTTGAAAGGAGATGGAGTAAAAAAGGTTCTGCAGCCTCCTCCTCCCTCCACTGCCAGCCCAGCAGCTCCTCCCTCCTGCCCCTGCCCCACGTTTGGGGCAGGCAGTGGGAATCACCCTCTCTGTGTCCACATCAATATTTACTGTTCCAGGCACAGATTCTGCACGTTGATTGGAAAGAGATAAAAAATTGCTTCATGTTTTTATGTCCCAGCGAGGTCAATGATGAGTTTTCCCTTTGGGGATTATTTTGCTCTCAGCATTCAGTAGAAGAAGAGGAAAGCAGCCCTGGAGCCCAGGTAGCCCCAGAGGTGCTGTCAGAGTCCCCAGAGGTGTTGCTCAGCCCAGCCAAGGCTGCTGGGAGGGTGGAGCCGAGGTTCCTGCAGTGTCCTGGGCTCTGGGACAGGCCCTGCTGTCCCTGCTGCAGCTCCCAGAGCAGGAGGTGAAGTCACTGTGTGTAAACAAGGCCCAGGGACAGCAAATGCCAAACTGCCAGCCCAGGAGAAGCCTCAGCCAGGGCTGCTACAAGGAATTGAACATTCATTCGAGGCAGCATTGACACAGGGGACACACTCCTTGGATTCTTACTAAGCTGGTCCTGCAAAAGGTGCAGCAGAGGCAGCACAGGAGAAAAGACCTCTCAGTGCAACCTGGTTTGAGGAAAAAAACCCATCATTTCTACTGCTCATGAAGCTGCTAAAAAAGGGAATTGCTTCAGATGGAGTTTGCATTAGGAACTTTCACAGTGTCAGAGGTCAAACCACCCTGCCTGGGCTTCAGTTCTTTAATTCTAAATTTTAACTGCACAGTGGGTTTGAACTGAAGCCAGGCTGGGCACAGTCACCTTCTGGAGGTGACTTTTCCTGGAGCCAAGGATCCTTTGAGCTTCCCCTGATCCCATGAGTGGATATTTTGCTCCAGCTGGAAGAGGGACAGGAACAGAACTGGAGGAGAAATCTCACCTGACAGTACAGGTGCTCCTGTCCCTGCCTGAACTCTGCCCCTCATCACTGGAAACATAAAAATAAGACAGGCATCAGGCTGGGCCAGGGCTGTCTGATCCCAGCCCGTTCCCTTCCTCACCTTCCTTCTGGGGAAAAGCTGCTTTAATCAATCCTAAAACCAGGAAAACTTGTGGGCTTTAAGTGAACCTTGCCCTTGACCTTTGGTAAAGTCACATTTTGCAACATGGTGTTTCAATGAAACCCCTCTTGCTGATACCTTTGAGTGGTTCAAGCTGTTGAAATTGTCCCTTTGAAATAAGTCAGTGGAGTTGGCAGGATCCTAAATTGGGGTTTGTGACAGGACCCTCATACAGGTAACAGCTCTGAGTTACCCTGGGGTTTTAATGGCTGAACACATTCCTGGGGTTATTGACACATAAACATGAGCACTGGGAAATCCTGATAGGTACAAGTGCCTAAATTGGGTCCCCCATCCTTACAGATTTAGTAGCTGCTTCTAAAAGCCTCTGTTTTGACCCATTCAGATACTCAGTGGAAAGCAGAGCCCTCAAATCAAGGCAAGCCTCAGCAGCCTCCAGGGCAGGCTGTGGAGAAACACTGGGATCAGCTTTCTGTGCACCACCAATCCTAAGGGGCTTTGAGGAGCCTGGGAAGCTCCACCAGCTGTTGCATGAACCCTTACTTTGAATTCAACATCCAGATTTGTTGGTAAAATGTTGTCCATGAAAAGGAAGCAAGGAGTCTTCCATGGCAGTGCACCAGGAGCAGGAGTGGAGCAGTCCCTGTTTCCCTGTCAGGTGTGGCCACTGCTGTTGGATACCTGGAAGTGTTGGGGGTTTGCTGGAGCTGTCACACGAGGCTGCCTGGCCAGGACACCACAGTCAGGGTCACTTTGTTCCTCTGCTCCTTCAGCATTGGGATTAATTCCGAGTTGCTCATTCCTATTGCTGGCACTCCGTTCACTGCCACGATTTCATCTCCACACCTGCCCAAAGACAGGATCCAGTCAGGATAATGAACCCAGGTTCATTAACCCTGTACCCCCGGTCCCCCTGAGCCCACCCTGAGCCAAATCATCAACTCTTTAAAGAACTTTTTCCCTTGGGGCAGAGGGGAGGGGAAAAGGAGGACACTGCTGGTGCTGGGTGGCAGCATAGGGAGCTGTGCTGGTAAAACACTGATGCCCCAGGTCACTCCTGCTGCTCCCCAGCAGCCCCACTGCCACCATCAGAGGTGTGACAGGGACCTGTCCCCTCCTGAGGGGGGCTGAGGCCCCACAGCCCTGTCCCAGTGCTCCCACCTCAGCTCTGGGAGCAAAGCCCAGCTCCCTGCACCCAGCTGGGTCCCCTGCCTGTGTCTGTGGCAGCCCTTGGTGCCCAGGAGCCAGCCCAGCACCCCAGAGATGCCTGTGGGGCCCTGCAGCCCCACCCTGCTCCTCTCACCGGGATCTCTCACCAACAACCAGATCAGCAAAGCTCCAGTTAAGGTTCCTGCACAGGCGGGCTTTTGTTGCTTGTGTTGGGATACTTTTCCTAATTTTCCTAATTTTTTATACTCTGGAACCTCCAAGATTCATCTCAAACATCCCCTTTCTACTTTTTCCTAATGACTCAATTAAACCCTTCACAGTTAGGTTTTAAAGGGCTGTAAATTCCTTTTGTTGCACCTTTATGGAGAAACCAAAACACCACTTAACGCAGGGTTTACTTTGTTACAAGTTTGGCAACAGCATTACCTCCCAAATGAGTGATGACAGAGTCATTAACCTGGAGCTGAGCTCCTTCCAAGGGTCAGAGTCTGGAAACCCCCCCAGCCCTGGTGGTGCTGATGATTCCCCGGGTGCCTCACACCTACTTGAGTTTCCTGTCCCGGAACGCAGGAGTCCCGGGCACGATGGTTTTGATGAAGAAGGGTTGGTTTCCTTTGCTTTCCTCAAAGCCTCCCACGATGCTGAAGCCCCAACTTTCCAGGTTTCCTTTACTAAGGACAATATCTTGACAGAAGTGAAGGTAGCTGTGTCAAAAACAGAGAAGTTATGAGGAAAATTGCCTGACCAGGAATTTATGTTTTCCCTTATGGAAAGCACAGCTCTGAAGAGCCTCATTTTCCTGTATTTAGGATTTGAGACACCCCTTTGCAAGGCATGTCAGAGGGTTAATTTTCAAATGGGATGATGCCAGTCCTTTAGAAATCTTTTTTGAGTATTGAGTTAAGAGCTAATAGGAAATCACCACTCTCTAAAAGGTTTTGGAACCCCCAAGACTCCTGAAAAACTTAATGAATTCTGCTAATGAACACCCAGTGACAAACCCAATTAACTGAGCAGCAGCTACACCCATGCAGTTAATGGCAGTAGAGGGTTTTAATCCCCTCTGCACTGCACTGGGACAAGGAAGGTTTTCAGCATCACTGGCAGCAGGTGTGAGGTGCAGCAGCTGCCAGGTCAGAGCAGGGAGGGGTTCAGGAGGATCCAGGATGTCCAGTTCTCACACTGGGCTCCTTGCTGAGAGCTCAGTTCTGGATGCTGCCCAGCGAGGTTTGTCT